TAACATATCTATAGTTGCTAATATCGAACAACTCATAATATATCTATAGTTGCTAATATATCTGAGCTCAGGAATTTGAATCCTCCTACCTATGACAGTGGTCCTAATTCTATGGCCACTGAGAGTTGGTTAATGCATATTGAGATGGTATTTTCAGTTTCTTGAGATTTCTGATGAATAAGAGATCCCATTAACAATCTTTATGTTTATTGATGAGGCAAAACATTGGTGGAGACTTAAGGGGGAGACCTTGCCCACTCCCATTTCCTAGGAACAGTTCCTTACTGCATTTCATCATAACTTTTTTTCAATCTTTATTAGAGAAAAGAAAGAGGAAGACTTTCAAGGTCTTTATAAGGGGAATATGTCTATAAGTCATTATGCTTCAAGATTTATTTAGTTATCCAGGTTTGGACCTAAACTTGTCTCTACTGAAGCTAAGAAGGCCTGAAGGTTCCTTAAGGCTCTTAGACCAGATATTTATAATCGTGTGACAATGTTTCCGCCTAGTATCTATGCAAAGGTTTTTGATAATGTACAGTTGGCTGAAGAACTTTTAGTAGTCAGACTCAAACAGGCCAATAATTGTTGAACTTTTGCTCAATTGAAAAGGAAGCAGCCTATGCCGAGGACATTTGATTAGCAGCCCTGTACGTATCCAACAGTGCCTTCTTCCATAGGTAAATCTATTGCTACCAGTAAGGTTTGTAGTCAGTGTGGGAAGAACCATAGTGATTGTCGTTATTACTAGGTCACCAATGTTTGTTGCTGATGTAGTAAACTGGGTCATTATGTTAAAGACTATCCCCAACCGGAGGGCAAATCTATCTCGAGGGGACGTGTTTATCAACTTGATGTGCCTAATGCAAAGGCTACGCCAGCAACCATTCAGGGTACACTTTCTATCTCTAACTCTGTTGCTCATACTTTGATTGATTCTAGTGCTACACATTCTTTTGTATCATTAAATTTTTTTAAACAATTATTTGTTAAATCTAAACTGTTAGATAAAACCCTAGTTGTAGAAACTGCATCCAAGGATATCCTAGTGTCCAGTAAAGTGTATAAATCAAGTAAAATAAAGGTAGCTTATAGGGAATCAGTAGTGGACCTTTTGTTTTTAGATTTTCCTAACTTTGATGTAATTTTGGGCATGGATTGGTTAGCCATTTACCATGCCAATTTAGATTGTTTTAGTAAAACTGTGACTTTAAATCCTCCTAACACTAAACCTTACTCTTTGAAAGCAATTTCTAAAATTAATAAAAATCATTTTGCTTCTGTATTTACTCAATCTTATATTCCATAACCTAATATATTTCATTGAATGGGAAAAATGAATTCTAAACTAAGTATTCAGGATATTCCAGTGGTGTAAGACTTTCTGAATGTATTTATCAAGGATTTGTGGGTATGCCTCCAATTCGGGAAGTAGAATTTTCCATAGATCTATTATCGGGGACTACTCCAATCTCTAAAGCCCCCTACCAAATAGGTCATGTTGAACTATAAGAATTGGGTAAACAGATATGAGAACTTTTGAATAAAGGGTTTATTCAACCTAACACATCTTCCAGTGGTGCTCCAGTGCTATTTATTAAGAAGAAAGATAGAACCTTTAGATTGTGTATAGATTATCGAGATTTGAACAATGTAACTGTCAAAAACAAGTATCCACTTCCTAGGATTCATGATCTCCTTGATCAAGTTCAGAGTGCTTTGGTATTCTCCAAAATTGATATTTGATTAAGGTATCATCAATTGAGAATCAAAGTTGAAGATATTCCTAAAACAGCTTTTCGATCCAAGTATGATCATTATGAATTTCTTATAATGTCATTTAGACTAACGAATGCCCCTCCAATCTTTATGAATTTAATGAATAGAGTCTTCAAACTAGTTCTAGATAAATGTATCATAGTATTCATCGATGACACACTTGTTTATTCTAAGAGTCCCACATAATATGCTATACATTTGGCTTATGCCTTGGAAACACTTAGACAACACAAACTCTATGCTAAGCTCAGCAAATGTGAATTCTGGTTGAACAAAATGGCTTTTCTATGGCATGTGGTTACTGGTGAGGGTATCTCGGTTAATCCTTTCAAAATAGAGGACATTCTTAACTGAAACTAGCCAACTAATGTATTTAAGATATATAGCTTTCTGGGTCCTACTGGGTATTATTGCCCTTTTGTTAAAGGATTTTATAGTATTGCAACTCCTCTTACTTGAGTGACCCGTAAAAATGTTAAGTTTGAATGGGACTCCTTGTGTGAAAACAATTTTCAAGAATTAAAATATAGATTGACTATTGCTCTAGTGTTAACTATTCTGGATGATTCTGGAGGTTTCACTGTATATTGTGATGCGTCACATCTGGGTTTGGGTTGTGGCTTAATTCTACATGGTCATGTTGTGGCTTATGGATCAAGGAAGCTGAAGCCTCATGAACAGAATTATCCCACACATGACATTGAACTGGCTGTTATTGTTTTTGCATTGAAGATATGGCACCACTACCTATATGACAAGACTTTTAAAATTTTCATAGATCATAAAAGTTTA